GGAGGAGCTGTTGGACAAGGCTATGTGTACTTTTCTGAACAAGGTTTTAAAAAAATTTCATCCAGGTAACCCATATTCCACACCTGGGGAAGCTGATACCTGCAGCTCAGATAAATTATGCAAATGCAGGAAATCTGCATACATTCATTGATTTCTACATTAGCCAATCAGTGAAAGGAGAAAGGGACTCAGCAGACAATACAGCTTTTACCCTTGAAGCACCAGAAATCTTAGGAGTGAAATCAGAGTGCCATGACTGGACGTCCTTTGACTTTTTAATACTAAAAGCAGCTGTGGAGCCTGAAGTTCTGCCTAGAGCAGTGGGTCCCATTCCCTGCTGTTCCCCTGTCCTACACTGCCTCCCCTCCTAGATGCTACTAGAAGGGGGAACAGGTATTTATTGTGCTCATCTCCCCCCCCCCACTCCATCAAACTGCACTAATAGCACCTTTGAGAGGGGTGATCTTGATCAGGAAAACTATGCAAAGGAAATGACATATCTTGCAGCATCTGTAAGACCCAGTCAAATTCCCCTCACAACCGAAAACCAACATCCCTTTGTGGTGCATTGTGCAACTTAGCACATTAAAATGAGCAATATGATTCAAGTATTTTTGTTCCAAAAATAAAGCATGGAAACCCATCTGTGGATTTACTCCTTGCCTTAAGAAAAGTAAATGAAGGGAAGAGTCATGGCTCAGTGGTAGCACATCTGCTTGGCATGTAGAAGGTCCAGGTTCAATCTCTGGTAGCATCTCCCCAGAGAGCACCTGCTAGTCAGCTTCGGATGTCTATAGTCACACTTGTCCCCTGACCTCACCTTCTTCCTCCTCCCCAGCCTTGGAGAACCTCACTTTTGACCCAGACACGGCCCAAGCTAACCTGGTGGTGAACGAGAATGGCAAGCGAGTGGAGTGTGTGGATCACAAGCAAGCCGTGAGCACTGATGACCCACAGCGCTTCGATAAGTCCAACTGCCTGGTGTCGCACCAGAGCTTCTCTCAGGGCGAGCATTACTGGGAGGTGATTGTGAGCGACAAGCCCCGCTGGGCTCTGGGCCTCATCTCGGCCGAGGCAGGGCGCAAGGGCCGGCTCCATGCCACCCCCTCCAATGGCTTTTGGCTGGTGGGCTGCAAAGAAGGCAAGACATACGAGGCCCACGTGGAACACAAGGATCCACAGTCGCTGAAGCTGGAGGGGAAGCCCAGCCGTATCGGCGTCTACCTGAGCTTTGATGACGGCATCCTTGCCTTCTACGACGCCACTGACGAAGACAACCTGGTCCCCATCTTTGCCTTCCACGAGCGCTTCACGGGCACTGTCTACCCCTTCTTTGATGTCTGCTGGCACGATAAGGGCAAGAACAGCCAACCCTTGGTCATCTACACTCCAGAACCAGAAGGGCCGTAGTCAACCCTGGGAAGAAGTTATCGGCACCACCAAACCTAGTCAGCTCTTACTTTATAGACACACCAAGCCATGGCCTCTCTTTAAATGTCCCCAAAGTGTGTGAGCCACATCCCTAGCCCATTCTAAAAGACACCCATATTGCCTCCGGGTATAAGCTTGCTGGAACGGAAGTGTTATAACTTCAGCATAAACACGGGATCTGGCACCAAGTCTGGAATCCTAGCCGCCTCATTGGTTTCCAAATGCAACTTCTCTGCCCTTGTAGTTCACCAACTAAAACTGGGGGGAAATGTGGGCAGCGTCTGCATGCTCAGAAATGAGTGAGAGCCTGGGCACGCCTCCCAGTGGCTGGGGGATGGGGGTCTGGCCGCCCTAGAGAGCTCTGTACCCCAGTCCAGTGCCTGCTGTGCCCCTTCCTCTCTCCCAACACCAGCCATCTTAAGTCAAGCTCCATGTCCTCCATTCCATCCACCCATTTATATCTGCCATCACAATACAGAAGAATCCCTTTTCTTTTTCTTTTTGAAAGCCTGAGTCTTGGAGACACAATAAATTGGTGTAAAGAAATAAGGAGGTCTGTGCCAATTTACCTTACATGCTTCTTTTTCTTCTTCTGAGCGCTCAATGTCATTTTTAAGGGTCTCAAGCTTGGACCTTGATTGATACACTCAAGAACATGAGATGAGTTCTGCTGGATCAGGCCAAGGCATTCAGAAACATACAGCCTTCCACAGTAGAGATAGTATACAGTAATCATGGCTAGTAGCCTTCTCTTCAAATCCTCCTCTAAAGCCATCCAAAAGTATATCTTGTAGGAGCAAGTTCTGTAATTTCACTACACGCTGTGTTAAGAAACACTTCAATTTGCCTGTCGTGAATCTTCCAGTTACAGATAGGTAGCTGTGTTGGTCTGCCATAGTCAAAACAAAAAAAATTTCTTCCAGTAGCACCTTAAAGACCAACTAAGTTAGTTCTTGGTATGAGCTTTCGTGTGCATGCAGTGTATCTGAAGAAGTGTGCATGCACACGAAAGCTCATACCAAGAACTAACTTAGTTGGTCTTTAAGGTGCTACTGGAAGAAAATTTTTTTGTTGTGAATCTTCCAAACATTCTTTATTGGACGTCCACAAGTTCTAGTGTTATGAGAGAGGGAGAAGAGCTTTTCTCTATCCATTTCCTCCATTATTTTATACACTTCTACCAGGTCAGGTCCTCTCTTACTAACTAAGGTGATTTGAGAGAAGAATCGCTTTGCATTTCTATCAGCATGCACACAAACACACCTGATTTAAACACATTCCTTTTATCCCACTGTCACCTCTGTTCATCAAAGCTTCAAAGATTCCAAGAATGCCGCAAAAAACCAGCTTACTGAACATGAACATGGGTGACAGCCTTCAAGTGTCTTTAAAAACAGCTATCTTGTCTTCGGAAGGTGAAGAAAGGGGCATTTTCTTTCTAAAAGAGAGGAACTCCTCAGACAATGAGTAGTTCGTGATCTGTCTACTTGTTACAAAACAACTATACTTTCTGTTCCTAATATGTACAAACAGGAACTCCAAAAGGTTTGCAGAATGAAGTCACCCAGAATACCCTTTCTCTCTCTACTCAGCAGATACGCATTGCAAAATGTTGTTGTTCTATGTACCCCTTTAGCTGCTATGGCTTCCCACAAAGTTTCCTGGGAGTCATAGTTTGAATAATGAGCATGCAGTTATAAATCCCTAGCAATTACAATTTCAATGGGAGGGCAAAGTGGTTTCCTCACAGTGGTTGACCAGATATCTATGGGAAGCCCACAAGTGGGACTTGAGCACAAGAGCAACTCTCCCCACTTGGAAGCCCAGAAACAGGTGTTCAAAGGCACACTGCCTCCAACAGTGGAAGGAGAACATAGCCATCATGCTCAGGAGGCACTGACTAAAGGTAAAGGGACCCCTGACCATTAGGTCCAGTCACAGATGACTCTGGGGTTGTGGCACTCATCTCACTTTATTGGCCGAGGGAGCCGGCGTACAGCTTCTGGGTCATGTGGCTGGCATGACTAAGCCACTTCTGGTGAACCAGAGCACTGCACGGAAACGCCATTTACCTTCCCGCCGGAGCAGTATCTATTTATTTACTTGCACTTTGATGTGCTTTCGAACTGCTAGGTTGGCAGGAGCAGGGACCGAGCTACGGGAGCTCACCCCATCGCGAGGGTTCGAACCGCCGACCTTCTGATCAGCAAGCTCTAGACTCTGTGGTTTAGACCACAGCACCACCTGCTTCCCTAGGCAACTAGTAGGAATTTATTTCCAAATAGACGTACATGGGATTGCAAATTGCTCAGAATTGGAATCCTGAGCCTCATGAAAACTCACCAGCATTTCTGTGCAAATTTCTCTAAAGATACAGATTTTTGCAAAGCATTTCCCCCTAATAAACATGTATTTTTGCTTGTTCTTTTCTCTGCTATATGCATTAATATGCACATTTTACCCAGGTTATATGCATTTTTGTGTACATTGCGTGACGAGAACTGAACTGCAAACTTCAGAGAAGCACAAATTTCAAAAGATGGCTGTGTTTTCATTTATTACTTTGGAAATTAGGTGATTTCACCTTTAAGTGTGAATCAATTTTCTCCCACACCCCATCCCTAATTTACATACATGTAAATTTCACATGCTGCATTACACACACACACACACACACACACACACACACACACACACACCAATTGATACACGGTGACTGGGTAAGGTCCAGTTTGGATAGCAAGTGACCAATTAATCTCCCTTAAAGGCCCACAGCCAAGCTACTTTGACCCCAACTTTTGCTTGGGAAAATTGCAGGCAAATATCTCCAAATGACTAGGAAACTGCTGGAGTGTTCTGAATGAAGAATGATGGTAAGAGTTGTTCAGCAGTGAGACTCGCTCAGAAGATGGTGGACTCACCTTCACTGGAGGTTTTTAAACAGAGATTGGATGGCCACCTATTAGGAATTCTTACCTGTGATTCCTGCATTGCAGGGGGTTGGACTAGAAACCTTTGGTTTCCCTTCCAACTTTCCAATTCTGTGATTCTAAGAAAGGCATCGGTTTGTGATCATGACTGGAGGTTGGATGTTGTAAGATGTGTTTTGAGATGTAACTATCCTATAGTACCTTTGAATTATTTACTTAAGGAGGTTGGATGGCCATCTGTCATGGATGCCTTATTTGAGATTCCTGCATTGAAGGGGAGTTGGACTAGATGACCCTCGGGGTCCATTCCAACTCTTATGATTCTATGATTCCATGAATTGTAGCTCTGTGAAGGATTAAACCACAGTTCCCAAGATTCCTGGAGAGGGACTTTAAATGTTGCGTACGCAGCAGCCATAATACCAAATAACAAGTGTTGAAAATGCCTGATAACAAGTGTTGGAAATGTAAAGAGACTGAAGGTACTTTCTATCACCTTTGGTGGACATGCCCGAAGATTAAGGCTTTCTGGGAAATGATTTATAATGAAATGAAAAAGGTACTTAAATGTACTTTTCCTAAAAAACCAGAGGCCTTCCTCTTAGGCATCGTCGGCCAATTGGTGTTAAAGAGGGATAGAACTTTCTTTATGTATGCTACAACAGCAGCAAGAATACTCATCGCAAAGTATTGGAAGACAAAGAGTTACCCACTCTGGAAGAATGGCAGATGAAAGTGATGGACTATATGACATTGGCTGAGATGACTGGCAGAATCCGTGATCAGGGAAAAGAGACGGCGGAAGAAGAATGGAGAAAATTTAAAAGCTACCTTAAGGACTACTACAAACTTAATGAATGTTAGTATGTCGAGGTTTTTAGGAAAAAAGGGATACAGTGATATAAGATTAGATTATAGAAAAGATTAAGATGACAGAGGTTGGAAAGGAATATTTAGAAGTTGTTAAAAAATCATGGGCATTGGGATGCAGAAAGGGGGGTGTCAGGGAACTGCCATCGGAAGGACAGGAGGTGCAAAGGCTCCCTGAGGTTGAAAGAGACGTAGCAGCTGAAGAGGGAACCAGTAGGGGGCGAGCAGGAACTTCCAGGGAAAGTGAGTCGGAGGGATGGCTCAGAGACGTTTCCAGCGAAAACAGTGGAGAGGTCTCAGGACCTCCTATAGGGACACCCACTCCTCGCCGGAAACTGTCACGCAGAGAGTCCAGAAGACGTGTTTCCGTGAAAGAGCTTTTATGTTGGAAACGTTTCCGAAAACAACCACTTTCGGATTCTGCTAGCGATTGACGCAGCCATGCTGGAGGGGCTCCGTCACAGGCAGAGGTTTGAAAGCCTGATCAAACTCTGAGGGACTTGCATTTTACGCACAAGCAGCTCATCATCCCATCACAGGGGGGTATGGGGGAGTCACGGAAAAGAGGTTCATGAAAAAATGTTATGAAACTATACGTGTTTGTATGTCTTTTTAAGTGTTTGTTTGTCTTTAAAAAATTTTGTAAAACCAATAAAAATTTTATAAAAAAAAACAACATAATACCAAATCCATTAGAAGATTCAATATTCTATTATTATTATTATTATTATTATTATTATTATTATTATTATTATTATTATTTATAACCCCCAGCCACTCTGGGCGGCTTTCAACCAAATATTAAAAACAATAGAGCATCAAACATTAAAAACCTCCCTAAACAGTTGTCTTTTAAAAGTAAAATTGTTGCTTATTGCCTTGACATCTGCTGGGAGGGCATTCCATAGGGCAGGTACCACTACCGAGAAGGCCCTCTGCCTGGTTCCCTGTAACCTCACTTCTCGCAGGAGGGAACCACCAGAAGGTCCTCTGAGATGGACCTCAGTGGGGCTGGACGATGGTGGTGGAGACGCTCCTTCAGGTATAAGCATTTAATCAATATAACACTCTTAAGCTGCTATAATCCATCTACTGATTATATCACTCCTGCTGTGGACATCAGCGCAAGATAAGATGCTGCAGATGAAATGCTTGCTGCAGCTCACCAGAGAGCCAGACCAGCACCAAGAGAGCCCGGATGCAAAGCTTGCTCAGCACAGGAAAAGGGGAAGTGGTTGAGGTGTAATAATTTATCTTCCTGATCTGCCTCCTTGCAACACTCTAGATCTTACTCCCTCTTTGAGACCATCTGCTGCAATGGAGCAAGAAGTTGCAAAACAAAAAGGCAGAGTCTGGTTTCCACCCACCCCCCACCCCCCATTAGGCATCAGGACATCTCTCAAAATATTTCATCTTGAATCAAAAGCCAGAAGGATCGAATTGGTTGAGCCCATGTTATTCACATCCTCACCATACTGTATTGGCCCAAAGATAAGCCTCACCCGAATATAAGCCGCACCTTTAAAATTCAACGGGAGGAAAGAAAAAAAGACAATATCCGAATATAAGCTGCTCCCTTAAAGTTCTGCAGGCACTCACACCCCTAAATGGCAAATGTAGAAGAAAATCTTATGCATACTAGAAAGGACCCACAAATGGGTTAAACACCTGTTCGTAGCACCATAAATGCAAATTAAATGCAAATAAAAAATCAATACTGCACTGTAAAGTG